TATGGGAGTCTGCGGCTCTGCGGTGGGGTAGGTGGGCGGGTGGTCCATTTCTTTTCCTTTTTGTGATGGTGGGTTCTTTCCCACTTTCAAAGTGAATTTTACTTGTAAATTGTTAAGACGAAAATCTGTGAAATATCTTATAAAGATCTCATCTATATATATATATATATACACACACACACACACATTATATGTAGGATTGAATTGTACAGAGGCGGTGAATATATATAAAGAGAGAGAATAAGCATCAAACTAAAAGTTAAAAAAAAAAAAAAAAAAAAGAGCATCTGATTCGAGAAGGTTGGAAAAACAGAAAGAAAGAAAGTGACTTTATGTCTCATCCATCCTCACAGACGTTTATAATCTGACTTCCTTACAGAACCTGAATAAACTTTCATGCCAATAATTCATATCTACTTTCCCAGAAACAACATATTGCTTAGCAACCATGGTGTGTGGCAGCTACTGATTATTTTACCGTTGCTCTGTCTTACTCGAGCATCAGCATCCCTGTAAAGGACATTAATTTACATATCTAATTTTGCATCAACATCAATACCCACATTCTATATTATTATACAACATATACATACATATATAATCCACATACCCAACCAAGGGGTGACTTACTTACCTCTCCTCGTATCATTTTCATCCATTAAAAATGGCAGCCCACAGAAAAAAAAAAAGTTGGTTGCATCTCATAAAGTCGTCACAACCAAATAACACATCTTTTCACTATTTCATCCACTTGTTCTTAATTTCCACCCACTTCCATCTTAAATTCTCCATTACGAAATTACTTATACTACACTTTTATTTCAATGAATTACTCCAATCTCTTCATGTACTTTAAGTAATAATCTGTCATTAAAGATAATATTAATAATTTATTAAGATATAAACTATAATTACGATAGAATATAATTAGAATGTGTCGATCTTACATGACAGCAATATACAAATGGTGGTCACATGTTATATATAGAGACTAGATAGTTGGCAGTTGCTAAACAAAAAATTACCAAATAATAAATATTTAGAATATAATTCCATCAATTATTTAACTGATAAAATAAGTAATTACTTTGTTACTACTATCTAAATCATGAATTATCTTACAAAGCATTCTCGTCAATTTTTACCAAGCAATCAGTATAGTTGTTATAAGATACTACGACACTAAGCTATTAAATAAAAGTTCACTACTATAAATAGGTCAACATGTAAGATAAAGGTACATTAAAGTCTATATTGATAACTTATGGTGTTTAATGTTTAATATTTTCTCTTTAAACTAAAGTTAGCTTAAACATTATAGTGGTTGCCAAAAATCAAACTCAATCACTTATTTTATTATTTGTACATATAATTCACTTACAAGGCATGTTGTTTATACTTACCAAATGAGTGTTGCCAAAAAAATTGGCCTATCTTCTTGAGCTATCAGACTTATCGTCCTAGCCACAAGAGTAACTACTAAACCTAATATCTTCGGTTACTAAAGATGGTTTCTTCGCCTAATAAGTTATTTGGCTATCAAAGATGACAACCCTACACTAGCCAACTTAAATTACAACTTCTCCCTAATCTAGGTTGCTTCCACGACATCAACAACTAGGGCCTATGAAAGGAAGATGTAATGATAATGACAAAGAGTTCATATAACATTAGACAGGAAGAACTCCCAGGGAGAGAAAGAAATAATATTCTTCTTGTGGCGTGGTCCTCTAAAAAAAAACTTGACTATTTTACTAAAGTAGTGGAGAAATGTCTTTAATAACAGAGATCATGAAAGGCTAAGAAGAAATAAGGAAGAGCAATACCTTTAAAAAGTTAAAAAAAAAAAAAAGCTAAAGCCTAATTTCAATTTTACTTGTTACAACAAATGAAGTAAATGATGTAAAAATTTGAAAAATCACCAAAAAATATATTAAGGTTTACTCAAATCCACTAATAACTATTTTAAATCATATGAACAATATAAATGGTATTAGTTTTACTTAAAAATAAGGGTAAAAATATCTTTTTAATATTTAAGAAATAGAGATTACCTCATTTTAACAAGAGAACCTCTTCTTATTATATAAAAATATGAGACAACTTCATCATAATAGAAAATAACATCAATCTCAGCTAAAGATAAAGAATTTTCTCATTACATCACAAAATACAACCTCACCCCCTATAACAATTAGGAGAAGATTTCAACCTTACCTGATTAATTAAGAAAGAAAAATTTCTCTTGAAAAAATAATATATTTTTTTGTAAAAAAATTATCTTTATACATTAAAAAGATAGAAAAGAGCTATTCTATTAATTATTTAGTTAATAAGCCAAGTCATTATTAGAAATATTATCACTCTTCTTAAAAATTATTTTTCGAACTATTATTTAACCATTAATGTTATTGTTACAAGATAATTATTAAGCCAATAGACTGAAGCTCACTCTTATAAAAAAGTAAAAGGGGATAAAAAGAATGTATTTAAAAACTATAGTTGACATTCATATTTAATTTTTATTATTCTTTATTTAAAGTAGAAATAAGTTTAGTATTTGAGTAATCTTACTCAATAAAAAAAAAAAGTTACTTGTTTATTCCTTTGTGTATATGGCATAACTTATTAGAACTACCATCTAGCTTATTAAACTCAGTTTCCCCAACTAACATATCTTAAATCTTGAGCTATCGAATTCGATATATCTGACTACTAAAGCATCCATCAGACTAGTATCCTTAACTATCGTATTGAGCATCTTCACCTAGAAAATTATTTAGTTACTATGCGTAACAATCACAATCTAATCAATTTAGACCATAACTTTTTAATCGTCTGGTTTTCTTTGATTAAGAATTAGTTTATAGATAATATAATGAAAATTTTATCAAACGAGACATTATTCTAAATTTAAATAAAGTATTTTTTTTTTTGTAGAAATAATAAAAACGTCTAATTAGCTCTAATATTACATTTGGTTCAAATATATTATGCTCTTATCCAATTTCTAGATAATCTTATTCATGTTAATATTATATTATGTATTTGATCTAAATTATCTAGTTACCATGCCTCTCAATCATAGCCTAACCAATTTAGACCGATCATAATATAATATTTTTTTTT